TTTTTTTGTTTTTTTTTGTCAAAGAGCCCTATAGATTAATTTGTAAACGGTATGGTGATTGCTCAGGGGAATAAGTCATTCCTAGTATGTGTAATTTACATGGATAAAGAATAACCACATACTTATGCTCTTTTTTGCAAGAACATCGACACATACATTTTCACTCTGATAGGTAAAAGAAAAACTAAAAACCTCTTAAAAATATAAAAGTTGTCTAACTCCTCTTACCTCCAACTATTAGAGTGAATCCACACAAAAGAGTTTCTCAATTAACTCAAGTGTATTATAAATACTAGAAATAATCTTATCATAATTAAGTAGCAATGACATAACCAAGATTAGTCCCAACTAATGAGGCCCAAGTGTAGTCGGCTGAATTCAAAACTCCCATTCCGGCTTGTATATCATGTTTCTACTTTGGAAATTACTCAGTTCATCAAAACTAAAAATTGTTTCTCCCGTTCCTGAAGTTTAATATAATGTGTAAAATGAAATTTCAAACGAAACTAAAATTTCATGTTTGTATTGCAATTTCTGTAAGGGAACTAGATTTAATGATTTATATGCCAAATTGAAAATATACTTTGACCAAATTCATCATTCTAATTTATCTTTAACATTATTCAAATTTAATATGCTTTGTGAAAAGATTAAAAAAAAATGTGATTAACAAAAGAGGAGCGAATTTTTTTTTAAAAAAAAACGAAAATTCAATTTAAAAAAAAAATAATAATTATGTGCCCCCTTGATGATGTGAAGTGGCTTTTTCTCCAACACGGACCGTCCATTGATACATAATGATCGTGTTCATCGTCATATCAACACCACAAAGAGGCCCATAAATTATCCTTATATAGCATGTCATGTGAATGTGATCTATTTCTGGATATGCTTGAAAACAACTTAATTAGTTAGTCATAGATACTCTTTGTTCTGCTGGTGAATAACTTCATGTCCACGAATCGATGCTTAAACGCCTCTATCTGGAAATTACTCTTCTTCTAATCACTCATATCGAACACCCAGAGATTTGAGATGAAGGTATATCTATAAATCAAACTTTAATCCGAGCAACCAAAACAACAAAGGGCTCACAAAATTAATCCAAAATTTGAAAACAGTAGCAAAGATGAAAACATAGAATCATAAAAATCGATATAAACCAGATGGATCGAGGAAATCGAAGACTGGCCGGAGAAAATCGGGAAGACGACGGATAGTCGAATTACGGGTTGGAATGTATTCTTGGCTTCGTCCAAGAGATTTGGAGACAAATTACAGAATAATGAAAAAGAAAGTAAAGGATTAGTGTAAAGATTATTTTGTGCAGCGTCAATGTGTATATAAGAGCGATACATAAATATGAAAGAAATCTCGGAGCAGAGATTTGAAGGTAGAGGAGGTTCTGTTTCGAAGATGATAACTCTCTTTTACAAATCCGTGGACTCATAGTCTCATACATTGAAGCCTAATGGGTTGTGCAGCAAATACATTTATTTTTTCTAAGTCTACAACATGAAGCCCAATCAAAA